AGATGTGCATGCTGATCCATGACGAACCGGATGGCGTGCCTCAGGACTTTCTCGGCGATGGCCGACGGCCCCGTGCCTCCAAACTGCTCGTACGTGCTGCCGCTGGGGAAGGCTTCACCACGATCACGTGCCGGATCGTGTTCAGCGCGGTGTCCGTGCGTGCGTCTCCCGTGGCGCTCCTGCTTTGTGCAAGATTCAGATGCGTTTTCCGATCTGAAGCCGATGGTGGCTCCATGGAATCTGGGACATCCTCGGGTTGCTGCTCCTCGTTGCAGGAGCCAGTCTCCAAATCTTTAGTACTCCCGATCGTTGTTTGGTTCAAGACTCGCTTCCAAGGCCTTGACGACAGCACCATGTGCAAGCCGATGGATTTCAACAAGGCTGCATGCAAAGCGGTGTTGTGTTATCAGACGATACATGCAACCGATGAAGGACTCGACATCAGCATCTTCTCCGACTTCGCCGACCTGCCAAGGACACGACGGCGCGACTGTGTGGCGTTCCTACTCCGACTCGACATGCTAACCGGCATCGGACATGCAAGCAAGCAAATTATTGGTCTACGTCACCATGATGTGAAGATGATGCAAGCAAGCTAGCCAAAAACGATTACGATGATCAACATCCTCCTGACCCGTCTTCAACGTGGGATCGGACTCTGGTACGAATCAAGCTGCCCGAGCCCTCAAACGAGCCGTCCAAGCGAGTCGCTAACCGAGCCGATCGAGTCATTGAATGCAGCTACGTCAATGATCCTCCCAAATCTGATTGGCCTAAGGCCGACCAACGGTATAAGGACGACGTCGCCCAGACTACTCGCTCCGACCGTCTATCGCGTCGCAATGATGATTGATGCGAAGAACGACGCTATGACGACCGTGACCACTACCATGACGATACGCTGGAAAGCTCGAGGACCGGATAGTTTCATCAATGCCGACCAGATAACGGCATACGTCGCTGATCCGACGTTATGATTAAAGCTAAGTCACCCTTGCATATATATGAACTTTTAATAAAGTTTTCGCCATGATGTTTTTCTACATTGTTTTCTCCATGATTATTCTTTAAACAACTTTTTTTCATGTATATCATCTTAAAGATGACATACGTTTTTGCCTCAATGACTCCCCGAACAACCACATTTACGCTTGTGTTTTCTAGAGACGACACTGTCTCTGGCTTCTTCCTACACCTGCACGAGCGTCAGCCCTCTGCGTTATGGGTGATCAGCAGCGGCTCCTCGGTGACGCTTGTCTTCCTACACGTGCACGAGCTCCAGTGCTCTGCGTTATGGTCTATGGGCTAGCCGAGGCTAAGGGCTCAATCACAAACTAACTGCTCAGGACGGTTTATATTAAATATAAACACATCTCCAATTGATTTTTTCTCTAGTTAATCTTCATATTTAATATCTTTAAGATACTCCACTCGTTCATCATGCGTAATATCTTTAAGATATTTTTCACCAACTCATCGATCAGCCATGTTCTCATTTGTGTTATCTAGAAAGAGACCTATTCTCGATCTCACACCTACACGTGCACGAGCGCCAGCCCTCTGCGTATTATGGATGGTCGGCAGTGGCTCCTCGACGACACCTGTACTCTTACGCATAAACGGGTGATAAGCACTCTACGCTATGGGGTATGGACAAGTCGGGGCTGGTGATGCGATACAGAACCAATTGAAAGAAAGTTATTCATATTTAAAATATGAACAAACTCCAAACAAATATAATATTTATCTATAACTGCTCGGCAAGATACATCATGTACTACATGTTCTATATATTTTTTTTACAGGGGCCTGGTTCGGTCAACAAGCTATTTTTTACGCTCGAGGACTGGATCACCCGGGAAGAATAAAAAGATCATCATCCGGATGGTCGCACCACCTAGCAGTCGGACAATTAGGCTCATGAACTTCATCGCCGACCGGTTGGTCGGACTACTCGATGCTCACTTCTGCTCGACGCTCACTTTGCTGCCGACCAATTGGTTGGACTCCTCGGTATTCAGATTCTTCGTACAAGCACCGCCAGCTAAGCTGAGTACTCCTCGGCATTCGGATTCTTTGTACAAGCATCGTCAACTAAGCTGGGCACTCCCCGGCATTCGGATTCTTCGTGCAAGAGTCACCAGCTAAACTGGAGACTTCCTTGGCTGTCAGATTTTGCTACGTCTCATCTTTGTGCTATCAAGTTGCTCCATGCTGTTCGGATCAAGGTGCTGATCTTGGGCAGCACGTTCGGAGGCTTGATAAGTACATGACAGATGACGTTGGCAAGCTTTCATTAAAATTCTTTGATCCTGCTATAAAATTTATTCTTTTATCTTCTAGGAGGCTCGGGGACTATGTGTGTCCACATCATCTAGTGATGACTGTACTATTTTTCTGAGCTAAGCTGGGGACTGGTTTAGCATTTGGAGTCTACTATTTTTGACCCTGGCACCACGTGAATCCTTCACCTACTGTTAGGTTCGGGGACTAAGTGGGCACACTTCATCTCGCGGTGAATGTACTTATCGCTAGAACCCTCTACTTATCCTAACGACTAAGTCGTGGATGATAATCATCCAAGCCCTCAGTTTGGCTCTAAGAATCTCTTTTGCCTACGGCATCGATCCTCACCATCCAACTTCTGTTGCAAGGGACTAAGTTCTTCTACACTGACTAAGTTAGGGATGCTAAGCATCCAACTTCACCACACGAAACCTAAGTGGGCACACTTCACCTAAGGTAAAGAGTTTTTGAATTTTAAACTTGAGCTCCTTACATACTTCTAGCAAACATTGGCTTCGAGTAAGTCCGAGGTCAGCCGACCAGTTAAACTGGTCGGACGCTTGTTTTGACTGCTCGGCTTCCAATTAAACTGATCGGACGCTGGCTCCGATTGATCGGCTACAAGTTGAACTGCTCGGACAAGCTCAAGAAGGCGTTGCTCAATGCATATAAGGCAATCGGGGACTAGCTATGGAGGGTATAACCCCAGGTACCCACGACAAGAGACATGGGCCACACCATCAAGGATGGTCCAGCCCACGACATCAAGACTTACGGCGCACGACACTGGTCGGCGTACACCGCAAGGCATGTAGAAGATATGATTTACTAGAACTCTTACATATATTGTAATCCTACCATATAACCGACTAGGATACTTTTCTTGTAACCTTACCCCTTCATAGTATATAAGAAGGGGCAGAGGTCCCCTAGGCGGCATGACCATCGGGATCCTAGACTTAGTCTAGGGTTTCATCAGATCATAATATACAATCCACCAAAGACACAGGACGTAAGGTATTACGTCAAACTGATGGCCTGAACCTGCCTAAATCATTGTCTCTGCGTCTTGTGTCACCATCTAGTTCGTATCTTGCACACCTCCACCTATTCATCTACTACCGTGGGCATACCCCTCAGTAGACTGTCGGCCATATTTCATCGACACTTACATGGCACCACGTAAGAAGGCTATCGTGCCACATCAGTGGAAATCGTTTTCAAAACCGCTTGCAGAGGTAAATCAGACGGTCTTAATATTTAGGGAGTCTAAACATCCTTGTTTTCCAAATAAGTGGCAAATTGAACTCATGTATTAGTTGATTAGATCGAGTTTTCCCAAATGATAGTGCTAGCTCTCGGACGTCTAGACGGACGCCCACATCCAGACATCTGTGCTTGCACTCTATCTCCCTCCACGCACCTGCATCCCACGCTTGCCTATGTGGGGCCCATGGCGCCCGATTACACATGAGGAATCCCGCTCGCGTCCCTCCGCTTCTCACGCGCATGCACGCGACCAGCACTGTAGCAGGTGATTACATCAGGTGGCTATGCTAGCATCCAGAAAGAGGGGAAAGGGTGGAGAATGCCCAACCGGTGCCAGGAGGAGGAGGATATATCGAGGCGAAGGTGAGGCAACAGAAAAGCGAGGATAGAGATGCAACACCCAATCTACTTTTGAACCATCCGAATGCAACACTTGCAACATACATTTGAAGCATACGAAACACATGAAACATGCATCTGAAACACTGGCTGCAACACCATAACTACTTCATATGTGTATGAAACACTTGCAAAAAACACCTCATATGTGTGAAAGCATATGCAATATCTAGATAAAACACTTGCAAACATACGTCTGTAAAACAAGATGAAACATTTATAACATACACTTGAAACATAAGTGTATAGCCACTACAACATGTGCAACATTCCGATCTACTTTTTGCAACGTCACGATAAAACACTTGCAACATCTAGATGAAACATCTAAAATACTTGAAATATACTCTTGCAACATGGGCTTTGCTTGGACGAATAGAGGCACGCCGACGCGGAGGTTGACAACGACGCATGGACCTCGCTGTACGACAGCGGCACGGGCAACTTGCCGGCGGGCACGACGTCACACAAATTTTGTCTCCCTCGCATGCTTACTGGAGCGTCTGCTATGGAGGCGGTCATGGCTTGCCAGCTCGGTGGAGGCGGTTGCGGTGAGTGGGTCGGCCGCAGCGAGGAGGCAGCGCGGTGGAGGCGAGCGAGGTAGACTGGGCCCGGTGAGGAATGCGGCATGGATGAGGCAATGCGGGGAGGCAGAACAGAGGAGGTTGTAGGAGATGGGGCGCGACGCTGTGGAGGACGAGCAACAACGAGATGGAGTGGGGTGGGCGGATGGGCACGATGACGCAGGGAGGAATCGGTGTAGTGAGTGGACGGGACGAGCGGATAGGGTCGCTAGACGAGCGGTGCGTGCAAAAGTAAATGGAGGGAGGCGTTCGTCCTTCCGGGTCTCTTAATGGTATTATTGTCGATTCCCAAAACAAAATGCACCTAATGTTTTTATTATGGGCCTGGCCTGCTTCCTCCTAGTGGTTGTTAATGGGCTCCTGGGCCGAACGAGTCCATGCTACTTGTCTCGTCTTCTTCCTTCACTCCGTCCCTTCTCCTTGGCTGGCCTTTCCGCGCCGCAGTTGTTGGTTAGGGCGGGGATGGCGGCGCCGCTCCTCTTCTACGACCTCAGCCTCCTCCCGTCCTCCTCCTCCGGTGACGGAGGCGATGGCAACTCCAACTCCTCTTCCTCCTCCCGCCTCCAACTCTTAGCCGCCACGGCGCGCGCTCTCGAGCTCGGCTACGCCGCCGTCGCTCTTGACCACCCCCACCGCGGCATCCTTGCCGACCCCCACCGCTGCCGCACCGAGCTTTTCGCGCCCCTCTCCTCGCTCCCGCTCCCATCCTCCGCCGCTCTCCATGGCCGCCGCCTCGCCTCCCCCGCCTCCGAGCCCTTCCGCCAGTACACCCGAATCACCCTCTCCCTCGATTCCGCTGCTGCCACCGCTTCCGCGCTCGCCCCCTCCGCCTCCCGCCTCCTCCGCAACTACGACCTCGTCGCAGCCCGCCCCCTCACCCAGGCCGCATTCGATCACCTCTGTCAGGCACCCCTCTCAGCTCAACACCTTGATCTCATCTCCATCGATTTCTCCTCGCACGGTAAGCTGCCCTTCCGCATCAAGCCCCCAATGCTCAAGCTTGCCCTGCAAAAGGGGCTGCATTTCGAGATTGCCTACTCCCCACTCATTTCTACTGACGTCAATGCCAAGAGCAACCTGATAGCTGAAGTCAAGGTCAATGTTATTCTACTCCTACCCAAAGACCCAACATTGTTTTCCCTTTGTGATAACGCCTCTCTCTCTCTTTGAGAAGATCACCTATTTTCAGACACCATATGGTACATACAACTTTTATATATCTATAATAATACATTCCATTTTCAGCTTTTGGTGGACTGGACTAAAGGAAAAAATCTCATCATCTCAAGCGCTGCTCATACTGCTTCCCAGATCAGAGGCCCCTATGATGTCATAAACCTATCTGCTTATTTACTTGCCATTCCCATCGACCGAGCAAAAGCTGCTATGTCCACCAACTGCAGGTGAGCTATTCATTTGCCAAGCCCCTTGTCTCAGAAATCATGCATGGTAGCCAGCCATTCTGTCAATTTATGCTACTGATTGGGTTAGTTTTGGCTCGTGCAGTAACCCCTGTGCAAAGAGCATCTTTTGCTGTTAAAATATAGCAGCCTTTTGTTTTATTTAGTTTCAGCTCTCTGATTGCAACCTGGAACCGGCCATTCTGTCAATTTACGCTACCTACTTTCCATTTAAAAAGACAGCAAATGTTGCTTGCATTGTGATGCGATTTTGTGCCATTTTAACCATTGTCAGGTCACTTGTTTTGAAGGCTATGAGGAAGAAACACTTTTACAAAGAAACAATTAGAGTACACAGACTATTACCAATACCAAATGAAGAGTTGACTTCAACAAAATTCAAGTTTGCTGATTGGATTGGTTGGAATTCTGTATCATCTGAAGTAGGAGCAAATCAGCGGGGACCTCCTTCCAACTTTGATGAACTTCCTGGTTCACCCATATGTGGTGTAATAGAAGGGTCACACGAAAAACCTCACAATCCTGATGTGTCTGTCATTGCTAAACTGTCAGAACAACCTAGTGATCAAGGTCAAATCCCATCTGAAACTCAAGAAGAGACACTACAAGTTGACAGAACTGAAGTCCTGACAGATTGTGTCCAATCTATCTTGCCAGCATCTTTCAATTATCAGAATGCTATACTTGAGAAGGCCGAAAACAATGAAGTTTTTGTCAATCCTTTTGTGCAGCCTGGTACAGGTTGTTTTGCTGACCCAAAAATTATCGCCAAACATGTTGAATTCGTGCAGGATGCAATGGAAGTAGATACAATAGAATCATGTAGGCCAAAACTCATTGTCAGTGACAATATTCCTTCAACCTCTGATACTAGTACGAAGCTAGCATGTTATGCTCTTCCCCATGGCATAGAGTTTTCTGGTACTAGTCTTGAGGATCAGGGGCCAAGTCACTCTAGTGAAATCCTAGCTAATGATAAGTCTTATGAAATATCACACTGATTGCACCTCTGGTGTGAGTGAGGTTGATGAAATTTCTTCTGGTGCTGATGTTTGGCCTGAGGACAAGGATTCAGACAGGTCTAATGGAATGCAAGCTGATAATGTGGCTTGCAGAGGTACTTCAGAACCACTGGAGTGTCCCCCATGTGGGGTAGATGACGAGGCACCATCTGATCTTTCATTTTACTCAAGTCATGAATTATGCAGGGATGTTATAATTCAGACGAAAGTTATGGAGGGAAAAGTAGAGCAAAGTAGGGATGAAAACATAGTACAAACTGTGGAAAATGAAGCAGAATCCGTTGACAAAAAAACAAGAACATCTATTTGAGTGGAACCTACGTCCCATGGTCAGGAGATCAGCTCAACTATTCATACAAGAAGCACTGGTGCAAGCTGTGAAAGTGATGAGCTGAAAGAACAGAATTCTAAGGACATAAATGCTTCTTTGGATAAAAGTATTGCTAAAATGCATGAGCTAAACAACATGTGGGAGAAGATGGCAACCAACATTCGGAAGGTGGCCTCAGAGGTGTGTGAGTAACCAAAGGAAGTGGAGGCGAGGCTAAAGATACTTGGTGGTGGAACGAGGAAGTCCAAAGGGCTATTAAGGAGAAGAAAGAATGCTATAGACGCTTGTACCATGACAGGAGTGTGGACAACATAGAGAAGTATAAGGTGGCAAAGAAGACTGCAAAGCGAGCTGTAAGTGTGGCAAAGGGTAGAGCGTACAAGGATCTTTACCAACATTTGAGTACAAAGGAAGGAGAGAAGGACATTTATAGGATGGCTAGGGTTCGTGAGAGAAAGACAAGGGACTTCAACCAAGTTAAGTGCATTAAGAATGAAAGGGAGCATCTCTTGGTGAAGGAGGATGAGATCCGACATCGATGGCAAGAGTATTTTGATAAATTGTTCAATGGTGAGAATATGGGCACAACCTTTCAGTTGGATGGCTCTTTTGATGACACCAATAGGCGCTTTGTGCGGAGAATCCAAGAATCTGAGGTCAGAGAGGTGTTGAAAAGGATGAAAGGAGGTAAGGCGCAGGGACCGGATGGTATCTCAATCGAGGTGTGGAGATGCCTCGGGGACATAGCTATAGTATGGCTAACCAAGCTGTTCAACCATATTTTTCGATCGAACAAGATGCCTGACGAGTGGAGGAGAAGTATATTGGTACCGATCTACAAGAATAAAGGGGATATTCAAAGTTGTACTAATTACCGAGGAATTAAGTTAATGAGCTATACTATGAAGCTATGGGAGAGAGTTATCGAGGATCGCTTGAGAGCAATAACGCGGGTCTCTATGAACCAATTTGGTTTCATGCCCGGAAGGTCAACCATGGAGGCCATTTTTTTAATAAGACAAGTTATGGAGCGGTATATGGAGAAGAAGAAGGACCTACACATGGTTTTTATTGACTTGGAGAAGGCTTATGATAAAATACCAAGGAATGTTATGTGGTGGGCTTTGGACAAACATAAAGTTCCAACGAAGTACGTCGGGCTCATTAAGGACATGCAGCCTGTTCGGGTGGCCGATCGTATCGTGGATTATTTATCGCCGGGCCGGTTTGGTGTGAGAGAAAACACTGCTCCCTACCGAAATTTACGATCGCTTACTGAGCAAACGAAACAAAGCTAATGTACAACAATGTTGTGACTAGAGTTCAACAAGTGATGGAGACACGGATGACTTTCCGATTAGGATAGGACTACATCAAGGGTCACTTTTGAGCCCTTATTTGTTTGCCTTAATGATGGATGAGGTCACAAGGGACATACAAGGGACATCCTTGGTGTATGCTTTTCATGACGATGTAGTACTAGTTGATGAAAGCCGGACATGAGTGAATCGAAATCGGAGTTATGGCGGAGACTTTGGAGTCCAAAGGTTTTAGACTCAAGAGAACTAAAACCGAGTATATGAGATGTGGCTTCACACTACTACTCGGGAGGAGGAAGATATTAGTTTGGAAGGTCAAGTAGTGTCTAGGAAGGATATCTTTCGATATTTAGGATCAATGCTACGAGAGAGACGGGGATATTGATGAAGATGTTAGCCATAAAATCAAAGCAAAGGTGGATGAAGTGGCGGCAAACATCCGTGCCCTATGTGACAAAAGGGTACCACGTAAGCTAAAAGGCAAGTTTTATAGGACGGCGATTAGACCTGCTATGTTGTATGGTGCGTAATGTTGGCCTCTGAAAAAGACGACATGTTCAATGCGCTTAAGTGTCGCGGAAATGCGTATGTTGCGTTAGATTTGCGGTCATACAAGAAGGGATCGAATTCGGAACGATAATATACGTGATAGATTAGGGGTAGCACCAATTGAAGAAAAGCTTGTCCAACACCGGTTGAGATGGTTTGGACATGTGCAACGGAGACCTCCAGAGGCACTGGTGCGTAGTGGAATCCTAAGCCAGGATAGTAACGTGAAGAGAGGCAGAGGAAGAGCGAAGTTGACTTGGGTAGAGGCAATAAAAGGAGACTTGAAAGGATGGAATATATCCAAAGACTTAGCCTTATATAGGAGTGCTTGGAAGACAGCTATTCACGTGCCTGAATCTTGATTGCTTCTGCTGGGTTTCAACTCTAGCCTACCCCAACTTGTTTGGAACTTAAAGGCTTTGTTGTTGTTGTTGTTGTTGTTGTAAAATGCATGAGCTACTTCTAAAATTTCCTTATCCAAGTGGTAAAGCTGGGATGTCCACAGTCAGATAAGGTAAGATATGATGCCTTGACTAATCTTTTTTTTTTAATTTGGAACACTCCTAATCTTTCTACTCTTTAATATCCAGAATTGTTTCATTTATTTACAGTGCATACTGCCGTTTTGTGTTGCATACCTTTTTTTCTCTCTGTTAATTCTCTAGTTTCTTGAGATGATACAATGGGGTTTCTGTCATCTTTCTTTTATAAGGGAAAGGCAATCAGAAGGATACTCCTTGTTCCTTGCCTCATTTACATATTTTGTTAAAGAGTAAAATAAACTTCCTTTTGGAGAGGTCGAAAGGGTTTATCATCTTGTTTCGTGAAAAGGATTTGATTCTGTAGAACACAAAAAATAAGTTCATATTATATCTATCTTCTAAACAAGTCTAAATTATTGTTGCTTTTGCAGAAAAGCGAAGACATAAACTAAGGCCGCACCATCTAGCTTATTGTCCTTTCTTGGGCTTCCTTCGGTCCGTTTGTTTCAAGAAGAAAATATGCAAAGTAAGAGGACTGATCAAACGTGCATGAGGTTTTATTTCACTCTGACAGGAGTTTGCTGTCAATTACCATCCCTGAATCATTATGTAACAAGGGAAGATCAAGAAATCTCGTTTTAAAGTTTTGATCTGAAATGCAAATCCTTTTACCAATCAGTTGTATTGTACATATGGAAAACAGAGCCATACCTGAAAGGTGGAAAATTTTCTTTTTTGTTTCGTCCATATGTAACCTAGGTCTAACTTTCCCTGGTGCCACTACAAATCTCAACTTTCAAGTTTTGTATAGTAAAACTCTCCTTTTGGTTCCTACTTTCATGTTTGGTGACTTTGATCAAATTAACCTTGGATAAATTAAGATACACACTGATCTGATCAATGACTAATGGGACTGGCAGTTCCACCTGGCTCACTACCTTTAATACACAAGCTCATGAAATCTGGTGAATATTGCAGTAGATATGTTTTAGGTTTGACCATTGACTGATAGTATGGTTCTGGAAATAAATAGAAATATAGGTCAGGGAAAACTAGTGTTGGTTTTACTGTTTCGCAAATGTGCAAAGTTGCAGTAACAATCTGATTTATCTTTTTTCACGTAGCAGGCTTAGTAATTCTGCATTAATTTTATTCTTATTAGGTATTTACATTCTTACCAAGTATTGTTGACTTTATTGTAAATGGAACAGAAACAGTTGGCTGCATGTTTGCTCATGAAATGTTCTGTCATGCTAATGCTGAAATTAGGAGGATATTAAACTATTAGCTCAATCCTATCTGACGCTTAATTCTTCACTGCCTGTGAAACATGATTTCATATATTCTTGTTGAAATAGATATTGTTGGCATTTGTTGCTAGATCCTTATTACAGGATGCTCTACACTAACAAATGTGTATAATCATCAATGTTGGTGTATGCATATGTAACTAAAAGAAAACCCATTTGAAAGTGTTTGCATGTCTAGCCTTGAAACACCTTACATATAGCACCTCAATTTTAGCAGCTTCTTCCTTGCTTAACTGAAAATAAACCTGCACGTGACCACCATGTATGGCCATTATGTTATTCTTAGGCTTTGTAGGCTCTCTGAAGTAGCATTATGTTATTCCTACTCATCCTGATATCCTCTATACCTAACAATACTGAAGCAGTAAAAATGTAATGTTTTGTAGTGATTGCCTTGAAATAATATGAAGCAATGGTTACTAAAACTGGATTCATCACAAAAAAAATTTATGCAAAATGTAATCTCATTTTAGTACCTGGCACGGCGGAGCCTGCAAAATTATAAATTATTGTAAACAGACATTGTAGCATATGGTGCTCCCATGTTGCCATAGTATAGCAAATCAACTACAAGATGAACCAGCTATGCTGTACTCAAATGCCTCTGGAAATATTGAGTTGGATGTGCATATTTCTTGTTTTCTTTCATTTCTACTTAGTATTCTATGGATGTAGTTTAGGGATTAAACATGAACTACTAAAAATTTTCTCTTTAAAGATAGACTGTATTGGAAGGGAAGATAAGCGCAGATAAAGTACAGTAAGCTCCGCTAGCATTGCTGTGGCTTTTCAAAAGCATTTGTTTCCTGATTTTGGATGCAGTAACAGTTGATAGCATTATTTTTGGAGGCCAAACAGCAATATCCTATTTTAATGGTATAAGATTCCACTATAACTAGTTAGCTATTACAGCATAGCACATGAACCATGAAATGACCATGCTTCTATTTGATGTGAAAAGTTTCTAGAGGCCATGATCGTGGTAAAAAGCCATACCCTACACTTGCACCTGGAGGAAGATTTGGGGCAGGACCAAAATCTTTCCTCCATATGACACATCCCACCAGAACAGGAGGTCTTATCAGCCTCCATCTATGTGGCCTCCTTCAGCTAAAAGTTATTACATTTGAAATGGCCGGTTGGTTATTCTTAACTTCATTTCATTTGAATAGTGATTTGCAATTTTATATTAGGCATCCTATTGGAGTTAAATGAACTTCTCTGTACTTGAATACCAATTATTTCAATAGTTGTGTATCTATGTAGTCTGTCAATAAATTCTCCGTGCACATCAACTAAACAATCATTGCATCACCACTCATGCTATAGTGGTGTGACTATTCTTATAGTTGACCTAGTAGAAGAAAAGGAAAATCTAGGAGAACTGCGCGCTATCCTATCACTCCCACTTGTTTTCATTATCTTACATGAATGATTCGTTGATGTGTTGCTTGACAAAGAGGCATTGGCTTATGAAATACTTGTATTTCTCTTTCTATGCAGTGAAGTGTCAATGGTTTAATGTGTGGTTGCTTTGGTGTCTTGAAATCGATGCAGGTTGCATGTAAAAGGAAGTCGTAAGAATTGTGGTGTACACAAGCAATTTGGCTCATGTCAATGGACAATAGATCTATGGTGCCCTTTGACTTTATCTTGTCGGTTGGCTAAGGCCACTTCAAGTCGTCAGGGCATATGGCTATGTCAACGTGATACACAATTCTTGAGTGGGCTACTGTAGGGATTCATGAGAAGCTGTGGCCATAATAGGAGCAGGGAGTGCTGCGATTGGTGTGAGGACACTCCAGTGATTTTACCAACCAATTGCCAACTGAAAACAGCGTCCTGGGTCAATAGCAGGAAACTTGTGCCCAATAGTTGCTCGAAACAAAACTGATTCTTGTGGGCTCAGCCTTGCTGTAGGCTGCATTATTCAAAGGTGGTATCATACCATTTCTTCCTACCCCACCAAAAATCTTGGGAGATGTCACTTCTGATTTTGAAAGCTCATCATATGAGCCAGTGCGGTGGACTTTGTAGGGACAAAGTCTTTTCAAGGGATGCTTTTGCGTTTAGTTGCGATCATCATTCAGTGAGCTTCCTTTGCAATGACCTTTGTTTCTTGAAATCTGGATGTAAATGAACCAACTGCATGGAAAATCTTGGGAGATGTCACTTCTGATTTTGGAAGCTCATCATATGAGAGCCAGTGCGGTGGACTTTGTAGGGACACAAGTCTTTTCAAGGATGCTTTTGCATTTAATTGCGATCATCATTAGCTTCCTTTGTAATGATCTTTGTTTCTCCAAATCTGGATGTAAATGAACTAACTGCATGGGTTGCTTACCTTTGCATGTGTCCATGCATCACATTACTCTGATTAGGGAATGATGGGGGATGCTAGAATCAGGCTAATATTTTGCATGTTGATTCCCTCCCCAGAACCTGGACCCATACATGGAGTGGTATTGGTAGGCCCTTCCCCTTAGTTGCGGTGTGGTCAACTGCAAGTTGAGCATGTGTCTGTCCTGGTGTAACAGCAGCACAGGGCATATGGGATGGGAGTACCATTTTAAAGATATCAGTGGAACCAAAAAGGTATAAGCGATATCTCCAACTTACTCATTTCTCCTTGAATAGAAATTTAGATAGAATCATGACCACCATTTTCCTTAATCATTGTCCAGCTTTGGTGTTGCTCATGTGCTGTGCTCACAATCTATTGAGATTCTCATTGTCAGAACGTACACATGCATTGTGGTTTTGGTGCTAGCTGCATTGATCCAATTCCTTGGTGCATAACGTGGAGAATTCCTGCCTGCATTGTGGTTGTGCAGTGCACGCCCAAAATTCAGTAAAGCTGCTGTGCTTGTATGCGCACCAGCTTACTTTTGTTAGGTTGTGGCAGCTAGCCGTGGATGCAGCACTAGCACCTGTACATGGCTCATTGTGTATGTATGTATGTTGGTCTCCATCTCCTCCTGTTGCATGTGTTTGTTCAAGTCTATAAAACCCAAGAGGGCCTGCCTGCCTGTCAGCCGTCACCACATACTACCGATCGAGATACATACATTAGCAGCACCCATAGGCCACAGCCATGTATCAGCAACACCATCACTGGGCCAATTCCTCTTGTTATTGCGTTGATGGTGAGCTCAAAGGTAGTGATGCCATCCTTTCCTCTCGGCCAGACGCCTTACTTGCCAGTGGAGGAGCATTCCTGCCTTCTCCATCGCCGCTGCCACCGCCGTCGAGCTACATGTCTCACCCATGGCCAGCCAGCTGCACGCCACCCCCCACCTGTCCCCGACGACGTCGTCGTCCGGCATGGCTGCAGCAACGTCCTCCCCGTTTCGCCGGGCGTTGAGCACAGGAGATCTCATCGTCAGGGACCGGGACGAGGAGCAGAGGGTGGAGGCGGCAGCGGCAACTAGGTACAGCGCGGAGGAGCGGCGGGAGCGCATCTACAGGTACCGGAGCAAGCGCAACCAACGCAACTTCCAAAAGAAGATCACGGTCTGCCTGCTGCAACATATATATCCATGCATATTGGTTTGGTTGGTTTCAGCTAGCTATAGCTGCTTCCTAACATATGCAAATGAATGGTGGCGCAGTACGCGTGCAGGAAGACACTCGCAGACAGTCGTCCACGGGTGAAGGGACGCTTCGCGCGCAACGGCGGCGACTACACGGAGGCGGATGCAGTTGCAGACCACCATGTCCTTGTCCCAGCAGCAGCACATCAGTCAGAGTCAGAGTCAGAGTCGCCGGCAACAACAGCCGCACCAGAGTGGTGGCCTGCAGTGCAGGAGGGCATCAACCTAGCAGAGCTCTGTGCTGACGACCACGAGATGCTGGCCGCATACCTTGGAGTCTCCTCCATCAGTATAGCTGATCATCACTACAGCTGCCAGCCATAGATAGATAGATAGATGCATGAGTAGATGCTGCTCGCTTTAATTTATATTATTATATATATCATTGCTTTTTTCCATTCTGCTAGTTAACATTATATACATCTCTGCACGGGATTTTCTTTTACTAGAAAGAAATTTGATATTGCCTTTCACTTTAATTTATATATAACTTTTCTTTTATATATTTCCTCTGCTCGTTGTTTATTTCCTGATCAATCGATGTGCGTATCTATCCATGAGTCTGATGCACGCAAGACAACATTTGTGTACTAGTCTTCTACGTACATGATTTAAACATAAAAGTGCCTGCATCTGCAGTTTATTTCCTTCTCAATGACTTTGTTGTTTTATATCTTTTACATTTCATTTAACAAAATATGTATGTGACCTTGTTGGTACTGTGAATACACAAATCCACAAGTTATGTTTTTCTCTAGAATGATCTGTTACATCTCAATCTCCTTGAGAAGAGATTTTATTTTTTGTACAAGTTTTCATAAGAGAAGAAGAATATAAATAAGTAAGGATCCACTTTGTTAGTGAAAACCAGGTCTAAAAGAATACACATAACTCACAACCAACTTCTTGTCGCTAGCCAAGCCACACCCAAAGTAGGCGCACATAGCCATCGCTTAGCTACCATGCCACAATGAAGTGTAGCATTGAGTGATAGTCACAACAACCCTATGTGGTGCCACCATAGCCGCACCACCCTGCGCGGCATGAGAAAGGGCAATGGCCAAGCATGACCGACACACTTATGTCACACGTAGCTGACCTAGCAGCTCAGTCAGCCACACATTATACACAAACACTACGCCAGCCACTATTTGTAGGGGCGGTTTTGCCAACCGCCCCTATGAAGGGGTGGCTACAAATCGCTGATTTGTATGTGAATAATGTTAGTACCACTTTATCATATAAAGAAATGATCAAAATAAAAGTTGTAGATCTTGATGAGTCCTATAACTTTTATGTTCATGACTTTTTCAGCTGAAATCATTTAATATTTCAAAATAACGTTTGAAGTTGCCATTTTTTAAAATTCAAAATTCAAACAGATAAAACACACATGAAAAGATGGATAAAATAATAGATGTAAGAATACAATAATTTGATAGAGCATGATTTTAGAAATTTTTTGGAAAAAATCATTAAATTTGAAGTTAGTATAAGGGAGAAAGACTAGTTACAAGTTTTAGCCAGAGATTAAAAAGAGAAATCAAAGTTCTTCAACAATTTCAGGAGTGAGGTCTCTCTACCCATTATGGTATAGATCCGTCCAACCAACTATGAGTGAGATTAGGTCTGACTGACAGGGCAATGGATTTAAACATTACCAAGCCTATGGCCAAGCTAGCCATCTCACATATGCAAGCACCATCGATAACCGTCAACACTAGCACAAGAGAAAGGAGTCGAGGCTGATGATGGTGTACAGCTTGCCACCGCCGCTGCCCTTAGATCCGACTAGACTTCTAACTGCCCGCTTAGGTAGCAGCAACGGACATGGGAGGAGGGATGAACAGTTCGGTCTGGTCTATAAGCCGCTTGTGCTAATTTGTTGGGAGAGAAAAATATTATACCATGGCTGATAAGCTGGCTTATACGAGCAGCCGAACAATCATTGGTGTGATGGTGTCAGGCTCAGGTTCTGGCAGAGATGGGAGGGAAGAACATATGGGGTTGTTTGGTTTAAGGAATGGAGACATGAAGTAGTCTATCATCTTCTCACTTATTTTTTTCACTTGTGAGAAGAAATGAGTTGATCCAGCATAACTTATTTGACAGTATAGGTACAAGAAATGAGGTCATTTCACTGAATTTGAGAGATGATCATGCTTCACATCATCCAGATTTCCTTTCCTCAAACCAAACATCTTAATAGATTATGCATGTTTGTTTCATCAACTGTTAAACTCCGTCTATAGTGGGGCGCCTTTGGTGTCTTAGCATAGTAGGTCCCAAGCCCTAGTAAAGGAGGAGGGTTGTGTTAGGCGTGACGAGCCAATATAAAAACTTAGCCACTTTTATAGAGATGAAACCCAAAAGAATCTCGTTAGGGCGTAACCCTCTTAGCGACGCGCCATGTCAGAACCCGGGTATGGTGTTAAATGTACAAGGGCCGGGTCGTCACCCCCGTGACACGCCATGTCGCGATCTGGGCACGGTGTCAAGTGAGCAAGGATCGGGTCGTCGTATCCTTAGTGGCACGCCACATCAGCGCCCGGGTGTGGTACAAAATGAGCAAGGGTCTTCACACCTACCTCGGCGGGTGCGAAGGGTAAGGAAGCTAGTCGAGCCAACTAAGATCCGTTTAGGCAGCTGGAATGTAGGGCCCCTTATGGGTAAGTTAAGAGAGTTAGTGGACACAGTGGTTAGGAGGCGTGTAAATATCTTATGCGTTCAAGAGACTAAATGGAAAGGGCAGAAGGCGAAGGAGGTGGACAATACCGGCTTCAAGCTCTGGTACACAGGGACAACTTCAAATAAAAATGGAGTAGGAGGAGAGTTAGTGGACACAGCGGTTAGGAGCACCTGTAAATATCTTATGCGTCCAAGAGACTAAATGGAAGGGGCAGAAGGCGAAGGAGGTAGACAATACCGGCTTCAAGCTCTGGCACACAGGGACAACTTCAAACTAAAATGGAGTAGGAGTTTTGATTGATAAGAGCCTCAACGATGGCATGGTGGAGGTGAGAAGGCAAGGGGATAGGATCATCTTAGTTAAACTTGTCATTAGCGATATGGTCTTAAACGTAATTAGTGCATATGCCCCCCAAGTAGGCCATGATGAGAGTGCTAAGCGGCTTTTCTGGGAAGACTTAGATCGCTTGGTTAGAGCTGTCCCTAGTAGCGAGAAGCTTTTTATAGGAGGTGATCTTAATGGTCATGTAGGTACATCAAGTGCAGGTTTCGAGGCTGTTCATGGGGGTTTCGGATATGGTAGTAGCAACCAGGAGGGAGAGGAAGTCTTAGACTTCGCCATAGCTTTTGATATGATGATAGCTAACACTTTCTTTTGTAAGAGGCAGTCCCATTTAGTAACCTATAGTAGCGGCCAGTACTCTACTCAAATCGACTTTGTCCTTACTAGAAGGAGAGATAAACGAACTTGCGTGGACTATAAGGTGATACCTGGAGAATGTGTGGTCGCTCAACACAAGCTGATGGTGGATGACATTCGCTTTCTGGTGCAAGCTCGTAGGAACAAACAAGCTAGGGTTGCTAGAACGAAGTGGTGAAAATTAGAAGGGGAGGCATCAAAGGTCTTTAAGGAAAAGATCATTGAAGAGGACCCTTGGAAGGATGAAGGTGATGCAAACAGCATGTGGGAGAAGATAGCAACATGCGTTAGGAAGGTTGCTTCAGAGGTGCTTGGAGTGACCAAAGGGAGCGGATGCGACTCGAAAGACACTTGGTGGTGGAATGAAGGTGTGCAAAAGGCTATTAAGGAAAAGAAGGAGTGCTATAAGCGCTTGTATCATGACAGGTGTGCAGACAACATAGAGAAGTACAAGGTGACAAAGAAGACTGCAAAACGAGCGGTGAGTGAGGCAAAGGGGCGGGCCTATGAGGACCTTTACCAACGTTTGAGTATGAAAGAAGGAGAGAAGGATATTTATATGATGGCTAGGGCTCGTGATAGGATGACAAGGGACTTCAACCAAGTCAAATGCATAAAGGATGAGAGGGAGCAGCTCTTGGTGAAGGAGGATGAGATTAGACATAGATGGCAAGAGTATTTTGATAAATTGTTCAATGGTGAGAATGAGGACACCACCGTTCAGTTAGACGACTCGTTTGATGACACTAACAGGCGCTTTGTGCAGAGGATTCAAGAATTGGAGGTCAGAGAAGCCTTGAAGAGGATGAAAAGGGGCAAAGCGTGGACCCTGATGGTATCCCAATCAAGGTGTGAAGATGTCTCGGGATATAGCTATAGTATGGCTAACCAAGATGTTCAACAATATCTTTCGTTCGAACAAGATGCCTGAGGAGTGGAGAAGAAGCATATTGGTACCAATCTACAAGAACAAGGGAGATATCCAAAGTTGTACTAATTATCGGGGAATTAAGTTGATGATCCACACTATGAAGCTATGGGAGAGAGTCATCGAGCGGCGCCTGCGAGGAACGACGCAGATATCAACAAACCAATTTGGTTTCATGCCCGGAAGGTCAACCACAGAAGCAATCTTCTTAATAAGACAAGTTATGGAGCGGTTTAGAGAGCAGAAGAAGGACCTCCACATAGTTTTCATTGACTTGGAGAAGGCTTATGACAAGATACCAAGAAATGTTATGTGGTGGACTTTGGACAAACATAAAGTCCCATCAAAGTACGTGACCCTCATCAAGGACATGTACAACAATGTTGTGACTAGGGTTCGAACAAACAATGGTAACACAGATTACTTCCCGATTAAAATTAGACTTCATCAAAGGTCAACCTTAAGCCCGTATCTCTTTGCCTTGGTGTATGTTGTTCGCTGATGATGTAGTGTTAGTGGACGAAAGCCAGGCGGGAGTAAATAGGAAACTAGAGTTATGGCGGTAGACCATTGAGTCTAAAGATTTTAGATTGAGCAGAACTAAAACAGAATACATGAGATGCGACTTTGGCGGAGCTGCACAGGAAGATGGAGATGTGAGTTTGGAAGGTCAAGTAGTGCCTAAGAAGGATACCTTTTGGTATCTGGGATCGATGCTACAAAGGGATGGAGATATTGATGCGGACGTTAGCCATAGAATCAAAGCAGGGTGGATCAAGTGGCAATAAGCCTGTGGCATTCTCTGTGCTAAGAGGGTACCACAAAAGCTAAAAGGCAAGTTTTATAGAACGGCGATTAGACCGGCTATATTGTATGGAGTAGAATATTGACATACAAAGATTCGACATGATCAACAACTGAGTGTTGTAGAAATGCGTATGTTGCGATGGATTTGTGGTCTCACAAGAATGGACCGAGTTCGGAACGATGATATACGTGATCACCTAG